CATGCTGCATCGAGGATTTTCATCACGTCTATGGGCGGATAACTAGAGCCCGGGGGAGGCTACCTTCATCGGGTCGCCGCTGGAGTGTAAAGTGAGCTCGCTTGATTTCGAGCAGAGTGTCGGTCTCTTGGTCAAGTATTAGTGAAGTATTAGTATTATTGAAGGATGGCATTTATCCCTTCCACACCTTCCGGGAATCGAACTAGCCTTAGGTTCTGCTGTCTGGCTCTGTTCTCCAGATCGTCTAGCTTGTCTTTAAGACTGCTAATTTCTTTCACTGGTAAGAGTTTCCACAAAGACGCCTAGAGAGTTCAGTTTATGGTCCAGCATGGATTGAATTTTCTCGAACCCTTTTTCCATTTCTTTGTGTAACCAGGCCAACGGCCTCTCTGTGTTTCCCTCGGGTGAGCTAGCGTTAGCCAAGGCTGATAGAGTGGGCTTTCCACCCTTGTTGCCTCTTCAGCTCTTTTGGGGGGGCATTTTTAGCTGAACCGCGTTGGTTTCTATTAGTATGAAGCTGGGGTCATTTCTGTAATTAAGAAACTCAAGATAGGGGACAAGTTAGGGTTTTGTATGGGAGCTGGTTACACTACCTCCGCCCTTCACGCCACCATCTTAAAAACTCCAAAAGGGGAGAATCTGACAGATGCAAACAATCTGAGCTGAAAATGGGGATTTATTTTCCTCTCATGATTTGATTTGTCCTCAAATGTGACACAGATGTAATAATGTGAATAATATTATTCAAGTAAAGTACTGAATAAGTAGTTAATGTGGCTGTCATGTGTGATTGAATAGTAGCATATCGTCTGCGTAAAGATTGACCTCAGTCAGGACCTTCACACGTTCTGTCAAGAGTCAATCAGTGTTACCTTATCAGCTACTTGTTACCTGATGGAAATGATGTCATTTAGTGAATAACAGCACCACAGCAGAGACAAACTCACTATTTGTCAGAGTTGTGAGAGGAAGGAGGGAAACCAGACTGATTCTCTTTCTCTTGAAGATGCTGTCAGTGAACTTCAGTCTGTTTGTGACTTTGTTTCTGCTCACAATAAGAGGTAGGTGAGATCATCAACATTAAGAGAGTTTCAATTATAGAAACCTTTAGATTGTAAAGTTACAGAGTTATCTTTTCCTTCAGGTGTCAGCTGTGAAGAACTCACTCCGGTCAGGAATGAAGAGTTCACTTTAGACAGATCTGTTACTCTGTCCTACACATACTCTAAAAAAGCAAATGTTGGAGATTATTTCTTCTGGTATCGACAATATCCAGGAAAACCACCAGAACTCCTCATCTCACACTCTGCCTCAGGAGCAGTAGGAAATGATCCAATCCCTGGACTGTCTGTTAAAGTGAGTGATGATAAAACCCATCTGGATCTGCAGATCTCCTCTGCTGCAGTGACAGACTCTGCTGTGTACTACTGTGCTGTGAAGCCCACAGTGACAGGAAACACCAAAACTCTGTACAAAAACCTGACAGCTCCTCTGAAGATTTACTCACTTCAGCTCCTCCTTTAACTGAACAGCAGCGCCACCAAGTGGACACTGACAACACAATCTAAAGACACATTACAATGTTACTCCTGTTATTAATAAAACACAACAGCTATCTATTTACAGCGAGACACTCAACAAGGAAGACTTCTTCTACACAGTTCATTTTACTATCACTGATGATGAGACAAATACAAATTCCAGACTGGTGATGATTTCATAATTCTACCAGGATGAAAACTGGTTAAAGACACTTTCTTGTAACAGAAAGTTCACATGTTAAAGCTCCTCATTATGAGCTGCTCTGGATAAGAGCATCAGCTATACAGCTGAGATGTAAATGTTGAGAGTTCCTCAACAGATGATGAAGAGGAAGGGCCAATGATGTGAAGGCCCAGATCCATCAGAGTATCAATGTTCTTCCTCTCTCTCCTCCCCTCTCACTGCAGACATGAACCACTGGCTGAGAAACATCCTGATTCTGACTCTCTGGCTAGGTAACTCTTTAAACCTACTGATTGTTCTCCTTTAATCAATCATCTTTATTGATCCATCTCTTCCTCTGCATGTTCTCTTCTTCCCCAGAGTGTAAAGGAGAAGACAGAGTGACCCAGCCAGCAGGAGATGTCATTGCGGCTGAAGGAGACACAGTTACACTTGACTGTACTTTTGAGACCAGTGGCACAGGTCCAACTTTGTTCTGGTACAAACAGGATGGAAACAACAGCCCCAAATTCATGTTGAGCCGCATGCAAGGGGTCAAAGTAAAAACAGAGGCCGAGTTTAAGGAGAGATTTTCATCCACACTGAATTCCACCTCAAGATCAGTTCCTCTGAAGATCCAAAAGCTTCAGCTGTCTGACTCTGCTGTGTACTACTGTGCTCTGCGGCCCACAGTGACAGGAAACACCAAAACTCTGTACAAAAACCTTTGGAGCAAAGACAACAGAATACTCCACAACGTCCACTAGAGGGAGTCACACACTGTTAAACTTCAGTGTGATGATGCAGTCTGGATTTATACCAACTTGAACAAATTTATGTATTACTGTCAATATACTGTATGTACTGTTGTACTCCAGTATTGGAGAAAAGCATGTTCACAGTTTGAATTAAGCATGTCTATAAACTGGTTGGCATCAGACTCAGGTTTTCATTGCTTTTGTTCTCGTCTTTATAAAAGAAGTTTCTCAGTTTTTCTGTCAGGATGTGATTTCTTGTGGTGTACCACAGGGTTCAATCCTAGGTCCTCTCAGATCAAATTATTTTTAATACACAACATCAGGTTCCATTATTTTGCCGACAATATTGGATTATAGATCCCATCATAAAATCCAGCAATCATGGCAGCTGGTTTAATTCATGTGAAGTTCTGGTGTTCCAGACCTTCCTACAACTGAGTGAGTCTAGAAATTTGACTTATTTTTGCCCCATCAGCTGAAGGGAATAATCTTATATTCCAATAGGCTACAATTGCATTAAATGTCAATCCACCCAGCAGTGATGTCCAAACCAACAATACAGTATAATATCTGAAATACAAGCATTAACCAGATGGCAGTAACAAAGATGTGTTCAATAATATATATAACTAAATTATTCAGTTTGGATAGCTTTAAAAAATTTGCAGATGCTTGCCTTGTCTTTAAGGTGTTACATGGGCTAGCCCCTCCCCCACTTAACAATTCATAAAGCAGAAGGATAGCAGAGGGTATGCCTTATATTCAAGAATCTTGAAATACGATTTCAGACACTCCTAAATTGTTGTTTTTTATACGTACTGTAATGTTTAGCACCATGCTGGAAGGAGGAGACATGGACTCAGGAGTTCTTCATCTGGTGCTTCAATTTATTTCTTCACCAGACACGTGGAAAGTGCAGTAGTGCAAGGGTGAATTATTGCAAAAGTATATCAAAAATTAAATAACAAAAACAACGAGGAAACTAAGTACAAACTATTAAAATTATCATTACAAACTGCTATTAAACAACACACAAAAAAAAACTTTTTCAGGCCCTGACTATTGGGCTCTAGCACATGTGCCCTTCCAGGCCAAAGCTGTTCTGCTGAGAGGAGCCTCTGCCTCCTTCCTTTATACCAGAAGCCCCTCCTACAAGACAAACCAAAGTTAATTGGAAATCTATTAAACACCAATATGTTACCTCAACAGTCCAGAATATTTCTGGCTACATCAATACACAATATATCAACTATAAAACCAGAAATGAAATGTTACATGCTGAACAAAGCTTCTCAAAACAGCAACTTAAGGTACTCCAGTACCTCTGTACTGGCTCACACTGTTAATTACTCCACACTCCATCACTTCCTGTTTGCCCCTTCAACCCAGATCCCTGCTTGAGGATGAGAACAGGTGAATGAAACATACAAACATTTGGATGACCTTGGGTAAATCCAGTAAGCTAAAATAAATGACTTGAAATGAACTGTGTATGTGTTGTATTTATCCAACCATGATTTCAACTCTTCTGACTAGTACTTAAATGAACTGAAATGAAATGACATGAAATGACAAGCCATGTGACCATTGATGCTAGCCCATATGCTAAAGGTAATGCTAATGCTAAAAGTCCTATGCTAATGTTCAGCTAAGGTTAGCTCAGCATGCTAAGACCAATGCTACCGCTGGCTTAAATGAAGGCATGGGGTAGCCCCATGACACGTACTTTAATCACTTTTGTAATGTAGTTATGCATGATACTTTTAATGTATTTTTCTTGCAGTACTTGTGGAAACATTGTTCTGATGTACATTTACATTGAAGTCTAACTACGGTGTTGATTAATGTGAACTGTCCCTGTTAAATTAAATAAGAAAATACCACTTTGATACGGCAGCTAACAGAATACAGTGAGTGAACTCAGGTAACTCAGCAAAGGCTGCACCAAAGCAACAAAGACTGACGATACTATAAAGGAGAGAGACATTTCCTTCAGACAGGGACAAGGCCAAAAGGATTACCAAGATTAAATTCAAAGCTGTGGTATCAGATCAGGACTCTGTGTGGACAGATACGTCATATTAAAAGACTGAGCAAAGCACCTGTAGGGGACAAAAGAACCTGATCAGGACGTCCCTAATGAAATGTCCTCCATGTTCCCAGAATAGAGAGCAGGTCTTCAGGTAGGCTTCCTTCTAGTGGGACCTGCCTCGGTCTCACAATGGTGTGAAGAACTGAAAGTGGACATTCAGGAAACATTTCTCTGAGGCAGAGCTGCTCTGGATGCACAAATAATCTCACTGGCTGAACTGAACTTTGGTAGACAGCCAATCTCTAAAAAGGGGATTCTCTGGCCCCGCCCACTGAAGTCCAACTCAACCAATGAGATTCTTTGCGTCTCCAGAGCAGAAATGTTTGAGGAACTAAAAGCACAATCAGCTTGATGTTGAGGAGAAGGGCTGTGCAGCAGAGAGGCTGTTTAGTTTCTTCATTCTACTGCAGTGGAAGAACATTGCTCATCTGCTGTCTGTCTGGCTTTAACAACTCCAAAGACATGTTGCTTTACCTCTTTTTACTTTGCTCTCACTTCATAGGTGAGTGTTGGAACACAGATGAAAGGCTCATTAACCTGCTGGATTAACCAGATATTTGGTCTACGTTTCAGAACTAGAGGTTTCTCTGTGGAAGGGAACAACTTCCATGATAGAAACAGACATTTGGTTTATTGAATGAATCCAGAAAGTCAAGAACCTCCGTTGAGTCTCTTGATGTTAGAATCTCTTGCAGACTAACTGACATGAATGACTCATTTTGCAGCCCTGGGTTCCATGAACAGCATAACGCCAGAAAGTCCTGAAGAACATGTTGCAGAGGGAGGAAACATCAACCTGACCTGTAAATATGAGGGTGCTATCTACAATATCCAGTGGTACCGACAATACCAGAGATCCAGACCAGAGTTCCTGCTCTCCATCACAGAGGGAGGAACGATTCATCCAACTGATTCTGTTTTCTCAGCTCACATTAACAAAACAGACAAGCGTGTGAATCTGCAGATCATCTCAGCTAAAGTGAAAGACTCTGCTGTGTACTACTGTGCTCTGCAGCCCACAGTAACAGGAAACACCAAAACTCTGTACAAAAACCTTTGGAGCAAAGACAACAGAATACTCCACAACGTCCACTAGAGGGAGTCACACACTGTTAAACTTCAGTGGTTTATGATCTGAATTTGTGGTGCTGGTGATTAAACAAAACAAAACAATGCAGCAGCAGCGTGTGGAAGATACTACAAGTTCTGAAATGTTATTTTAAATCAATTCCGACAAAGGATGATAATGATGTTGGATGGTGTTATATAAAGAGAGACTATCAGCAGCCTAATAGCTGAGAGTTCTCAACCAAGGAAGTCCTTTCTCTCCACTGCTGTTTGATCCTTAAGGAGTAAATAATTAAAATGTCCATTCTGTAAAAACACATGATGTCAAGGCTCTGACTCAGCATCTGTCAGGGTCGTTGCACAAATTCTGTAAGCAGTCCCTGTGCCCCACCCCCATTACCCACTGCCCCCACCCCCAAAACCCCCCTCCAACACACATGTCATCCGAAATGTCAACACATTTCAACCTTTTTTCAACATTTACTTCTATGCAATGACTATAATTGCTAAATGCTTTCACCCCCCACTACGATGCCCTTGGTCAAATATACAGGATCCAATCTGGAGATTAAAACATTTGTAAACCAATGATGGTCCATTAAATTGTTTACAGAACAGAACAGAATTCATGGATGACCAAGTAATGATCAAGCATGAAACAATAAAAGGAAAATTTGACATATGCAAACAATCTTCCTGTCTGGAGCTTAACATCTAGTTTACTCAATTTAAGACCTCTCATGATATGATTTGTCCTAAAATGTGACACAAATGTAATAATGTGAATAGTACTGTTTGAGTAATGTATTGAATAAGTAATTAATGTGGCTGTCATGTGTAATTGAATAGTTGTATATCGTCTGTCTAAAGATTGACCTCAGTCAGGACCTTCACATGTTCTGTCAAGAGTCAACCAGTTTTACCTTATCAGCTTCTTGTTAACTGATGGAAATGATGTCATGTAGTGAATTACAGAACCACAGCAGAGACAAACTCACTATTTGTCAGAGTTGTGAGAGGAAGGAGTGAGGGATTAAGGGAGGAGCAAAACTGGGACTCAAGGACAGAAAAGACAACAGATGATGAAGAGGAAGGGCCAATGATGTGAAGGTCCAGATGTTTCTTGTTGCCCAGGTGTTGCCTTTTAGGTTGATTGTCCAAACATTAAATAGCTGCATGACTCGTGTATAGGGAATTCCAAACATATTGCATGTAACCCTGGACTCAGGGAGACTCATCTGTGATGTGGCACTGAATCTGTGTAAACGTAACAGTTCAAATATCTCTGTTCTCTGTGGTATCCAGACTTCAGGGACAATGTGTCTCTGTAGGATGATGTGATTGACCCTAAAGCTGGATAAATAACAGGCTCACTCAGCTCTCCTCACTCATTCCAGCATACATGTACACGGCGTATGTGTGTTGCTGTGAGTCCTTCTGCAGAAGACTTGAATAAGATTCACAGAAAGACAAGTGTTGTTGTCAGAGCTGAAGGTGAAAACCGTACAGCCAGAGTCTGGGACTCTGGGACTTCAAACCTCCCCTCCAAAATACGGGTGAGACGTTGAGGGCCTGACGCCTGAGTGTCTGAGGCTCCCTCACCGCTGTGATCCACAAAGAACCTGGTGGCAGGCAACACTCTCTTTTTGGTGAGTAGACTGTTGAAGTGGAACGATTCTCGCTACCTCTCAGGGTGAGCGTGACAGACGTGTCAGCAGGGCCTGGGGCCGCTGTGTGAATCGGCAAAGCTTTGTGTTAAAGGTACTATAGTCAAGAAATCACTGGGGGGCAGTGGATTTCTTATAGGTCTGGGACCTGCTGTTGCATCAGTTCTTTTGGGTCTGGGACCCACAGTAGAGGAGTGTGAGTCATAGGACTCACTATAAAATTTACTATTTTACTTAAGGCTGCTATTCTAGGTGAATGCAAAGTAAATACACAGTATTGTTGAATGTGTTTACTACAGATGTAT